TTTTTTTTTTGGAGACAGTTTCACTCTTCCCCAGGCTGGAGTGCAATGGCACATTCACTGCTAACTACAGCCCTGACTTCCTGGGCTCAAGTGATCGTCCCTGAATAGCCTCAGCCTCCTGAATAGCTGGGATCACAGGTGTTTGCCACCACGCCTGGGTAATTTTTGCATTTTGCCATGTTGCCCAGGCTAGTCTGGAACTCCTGGGCTCAAGCGATCTGCCTGTACTCTTTCCCAGTTAATCTGATATTTCTTTCAAATCTCAGATGTACCAGGCCTCAGCAGTGACTCAAGGAAGAACCCATGTGCTCTTAGTGGGACACGATTTGTTCACATCTAACTTCAACCCAGTTTCATTTATAGTGAACACTGTTAACAACTTACATCAGCACGCCAGATTTTAGCGCTGGTTTGTCTTTGTGATCTTTGTAATGTTTCAAACTTAGTGACTTAACTGTTTATATCTTAGTATAATTCTAAAGATTTCATTCAGCTAGAACCCCTGATATTTAAATGTCCTTTTTCTCTTGTCTAATTATTTGCAGTTAAACATTTTGTCATTTACTTTGCGACTGTTTTTAGCAGGCCCATGGATCTCAAGTGTTTAGAGTTTAGTTTGTGGGCTCTATGGGATACAATGACAACAAAGATAACTTTAATGTTGGCAATAATTCTAAGTAAGCAAGGGATATTAGAAAATTAAGCAAAAGGCCAGGCATGATGGCTCATGCCTGGAATGCCAGCACTTTGGGAGGCCAAAGCAGGAAGATTTGTGAAGCCCCATCTCTGCTGAAAGCACAAAAAAAGCCAGGCATGATAGCACATGCCTATAGTCCCAAATGAGGCTGAGGCAGGAGAATCTCTTTAGCCCAGTAGGCAGGGGTTGCAATGAACCGAGATCGTGCCACTGCACTCCAGCCTGACAGGGCAAGACTCTTGTCTCAAATAATAAAAATAAAAATTAGCCCCAGGCATGGTGGTGCACACCTGCAGTCCCACCAACTCTGTAGGGCTCAGGCAGGAGGATCGCCGGATCCTGGGAAGCTGAGGTTGCAGAGAGCTATGATGGTGTTATTGCACTTCATCCTGGGCGACAGTGTGAGGCCCTGTGTCAAAAAAAATTTTTTAAATAGGACACTTGGCCCGGAGGGCAGTGGCTCACGCCTGTAATCCCAGCACTTTGGGAGGCCAAGACAGGCGAATCACGAGGTCAAGAGATTGGGACCATCCTGGCAAACATGGTGAAACCCTGTCTTTACTAAAAATACAAAAATTAGCTGGCCATGGTGGTGCACACCTGTATCCCAGCTACTAAGGAGGCTGAGTTAGAATCGGTTGAATCCGGGAGGCAGAGGTTGTAGTGAGCCGAGATCGTGCCACTGCACTCCAGCCTGGTGACAGAGCTAGACTCCGTCTTAAAAAAAAAAATAGAAAACTTTAAGCAAAAATATGTAAAAGGCTCCTATTCGTTTTTACATATATCTTTTTATTTATTTATTTATTTACTTTTAAAAGACAGAGTCTCACTATGTCTCTTAAAACCAGGCTGGCTTCGCCTCTTGGCCTCGAGCAGAGTGCTGGAGTTATAGGCATGAACCACTGCACCCTGCCTCATCTTCTAAAAGTGTACAGTTATACAAATTTTTTTTTTTTTTTTTTTT